ATTATTGTGTAATTTCCGAGATAAAGAGCTTATGATCACGACCGACTACATGACTGATTTAGGTTGATGTCGAAGGTTTTATACCGATAATTGATGCTCTATAACGTTGATCTATGACTTACTTTGTGTTCCGTCATAATTAATGGTAAATCGGGTCTCCCCCGTCATCTTCGGATGTCTTGGCTCCATCTCGAATTATTCAGAATTAATTGTTCACCTTGCATCGTTTAAAGTTACGTTACGTGCATATCTACATATATTGTTTTTTTATAGACTTATTTGTCTCACCGTTTGAACTCACTAGGCGTAAGCCTAACACTTCTTCTTGATATGGCTTGTATATCAGGTTTCTTTAGCGGCGAGGCTCAAAAGGGTTGAGAGGAGCGTTGGTTCATAAAGGCTCTTTTGTAGTATAGCCTTTGTTACTTTCGAGCGCTGCGTTTTTGATATTCCGGTATTTTTGGAGATTGATAGAAACACCCGTCTTTAATCTAGATATAGTATAATCTAGATTAGTAGGTTGTTAATTATCTTCTCAGTAGCTGATTTGCAAACGCTATTCTATTCCCCCTTTTGTTGGGTGAATTTTTATATAAAGATTTTGGTTCTCGTTGTATATATTTTCGGTTTAATTTATAATCTTTTTTTTGGGTGTTATAACAATGACAATAGTAGCATGGTTATGGTTGGTGCAGCGATTGGTGGTGTTGGTTAAGTTGGATGCAAAAGGATGAAATTCAATTCCTTCATTTATGCCAATGAATGATGAATTTATAGAATTCAGTGGAATTCAAAAGGAGTCCTACATTTTCAAATTTGAACCAAACAAAGGAATTTATCATTTTAATTCTCTTGAAATCCATTGAATTCCATGAACCAAACAACCCTTTGATCTTCTTGTTGTTGAATTTCCATGGCGATGTTAAAGATGGCAAATTCCGGTCAACGTTTAATAGAGGATTATCAAGATGGTAAGTGAAATCTTAAAAGGAAAACCTTAAAAATATTCAAAGTTAAAATCAAAGAGGCTTTGGAAGAAGGAAAAACATCATACCTCTAAACAATTTTCAAGAAGAAACTTTCAGAAATTACTTTAGTTTTCTCTTGAGAACGATGAGGATTGAAAAGGTAGAAAGAAAGAGGGGTATAAAGGGTTTAGAACTCTTTTTGAAGAAAGAAATTAATATTTTTATGTGGAATACTTTAAATTAACATGTGTTTTAAATTTTAACATAGGGGTATAATTATTATTTTAATTCGATTCGTACTTAATATAAATATCAAGTAAGCATCAATTTATAGTCAACCATAACTGAGTAAGGGGATGTTTACTAACATCTTATGCCTCTTACCGTCTCTTACGGGTAAGAGCCTCTTACCGTCTCTTACGGGTAAGAGCCTCTTACCTAAGGGGCTGTTTGGATGACTCTTAATGGTGACATTAAAAGGTACGAGTTGTTTGGCAAAAAAAAAACCTCTTAAAAGCCTCGTAATGATTTGGTGTTTAGGGAGCTCCTAAATGATTTGGTGTTTAGGGAGCTCCTAAATGATTCAGAAGGGTCTTCTTCCATTTTTTTCCCTCTAAAAATTCTACAGTCACCTACTCCTCCTTCCTCCTTCCAATCGATCTCGCCTCCCATTAGTTGCTGCCTCCCACGAGTTGAGGCTGTATCGCCTCCCACGAGTTGCTGCCTCCCAGTCTGTTGTGTCGATCTCGCCTCCTTCCTCCGGCTCGTTCCTCCTTCCTCCTGCTGCTAAGTTTTCCTCTTTAAATTTTTTTAATCATCAATGATATATGTTTAATGGGATTTTGATCTTGATTTTGTTTGTAATTTTGACTTTGACTTGTTCTATAGATGTAAGCCACTTTAGAAAATTTTAGCAGATTATGGATTTCTTTTGGTGGTTGTTAATTTTTTTTTGGGATTATTTTGGTGATATAGTTATAGATTTCACCAACCCAAATCAAAAGGTTTGATGGTGATTGAATTTGAATCTTGATTTATAGATTTAACCCACTTGAGATTTCAGTAGGTGGTGTGTTCTTGGGTGGTTCATGGTGGTTGACTTTTCTTTAGGGGTTGATTTTGGATGATCTAGTTGATCCTTTCAGTGATTCTTTGATTTTATTGAAAAACCCATATGAAAAAATTTGTGGGATTTTGGTTTTGCTGAAAGATAGAACTATCTTTTTTTTATAGATGTAAACCCTCTTGGGAGATTTTTAAGTAGATGATGTATTGTTTAGTGGTTGTTGACCTTTTCTAGGGTTCATTTGGTTGATCCAGCCATTCATTACTTTTCTTGAACTATAAAAACCAACTTTTTGTAATCAAATGCTGCTCAGGTTAGATACTTCATACTTAGATTGGGCTTTTTTTTCCTTACTGAAAATAGGGGTTAAAAGTTGCTTGCTAATTAATGCTTAACATTTGGGTCAGTGGGTGTTATGTTACTCTTGGTTTGATGGTTCTTCATTTGTTCTTGAAGTTAGAAATTGTTGAATGGAGAGATTATGTGATTGTTATTAGTCATGCCTAAAGAACCATTGGGATTTGATTGTTATTTGTCAAGCATTGGATGAACTGTGTGTATCATTCATGCCTGAAGAACCATTGCTAATTTTCAGACATGATGTGCTTCGCTATATTTCAGGCCCTGAACTTTATGAGGAGGAGGGGTGTTGCAGGTATGGGATGAATGAAAAATGTAAAACGACCAAAATGTAGGCAACACCATTTTTTATCAGTTGTTAGTTCAACGACCAAAGCAAAATAAAGCGACAACCATAGGAAGTTCAGGGACAATAGTTGTGAATCAGTTAACGTTAAATGCATCAAATTAAGAATTGTTCAGAAAATATTATGTTGGAATTAGATTGTTATGTTTTTGTTTATTCTAGAATTTGAAAAAAGTAATGTTATGTTGGTTTGATTAATATGAAAAATCTTGTTTTGAACTAGTAATGCTATGTTTGTTTGGATTAATTTGAAAGCCGCAGTTATATTTGCAAAATAATTGTTTTATTCAGATATCTGCCAAACAATTATATTTCATTCAATACTAAATCATACAGAGGGTTAAAATGATAATTTGTTGTCATTCATAGAACAGTTACCAAACAACATTGTTTCATTCAACACTTAACAATTCTGACCATCTTAACCATTCTGACCACTTAACTATTCTGCATTAAATCATTTAGCAACTGTCAAATAGCCCCTAAGTAAAAAAAGATTAAGTGTTTACCAACAATAAAATAATTGATCTGAATGTTGATCGTCAAGATCAAAATATGAAAGGTTTCTGGATCCTATATTAAAAAAACATTTAATATTTTGTGAATGTGTTGTCAAATTATCATATATTATTAATTTGTATATAAAAGAACCTGAAAACATATGCAAATATTTTGTAAATAACAAAGTTTCATTTATCATTTAATACAAACAATTTTTTAAAGAATAAATTTACTTTATGGCAATTTTTATTAAAAACATTTTGTAAACAACAACTCCTAATTAATATTTATTTAAGTTATACTTGTTATCCGGTCAAACCTCTTACCTTAAAGGGATATTTGGTTTGCAGGATTTCGATGAAATTTGAAGGAATTGGAATGACCGATTCCATTGACCAAATTTCATTCAGGCATTTGGTTTACTTATGAAAAGAAATTGAATTCAACACATTTCACCATTCATGGATTTGGTCATTCCATCATAATTGAGAATAGAGGTGACCAAAAACCGATCTCAAACAGTAACAATCCGGACCAGTCCTGGTTCCATTGAAAATACTAAGGCCTAGTTAAGGGTACTTGTAACCGGTCCAAGTCCCTGGCCAGGCCCAAATCGGTCCTATATTAAAAAACATTTTCTTTTTATACTTTTTTTGATAAACTTTTAAAAATATTTTAATGTTATTCTAATACACTTTAAAGTATCTAATTAGGTCAATTAAATACATTTAAAAAAATAAGTTTTATTGTAGTTTTATAATTGATTTTCAATCAAATACACTTAAAAATTACGTTTTATTATAGTTTTTATAATTGGTTTTCAATCAAATACACTTAAAAAGTATGTTCAATTGTAAATTTGTAACTTGATTTTCAATCAAATACACTTAGAAAACTAGAAATACATTTCTTTTGAAAAAATCGGGCCGGTTCCAGACCGGGCCTATAATCGGCCCCAAACCGGTCTTGGCCAGGCCGTGCCTTGGGGATGAAAACCATAATCGGTCCTTAACTGGGCCAGTCCTAAGTCGGTTCCGGTCCTAAGTCGAGCCGGGCCCATTTGGCCATTTCTAATTGAGAATGAATTTATTTATATTCCTTCCTAATCGAAAGCTCCCAAGCAAACCAATTAATTAATTATCCCCATCTTTCCAGCTTGATTTACCGAGACCCATATGACCTCCATTGAACCACTGTCGACCACCGCAAACAAACAGATTCTAAATCATTTAACATATTTCATTCCAAATTCCATTACAATTTCTTTAAAATCAAATCTTTTCACATATTTCATTCTTTACTATGGGAACCAAAAGCCCCAAAGGATTTTGGTAAACATAAACTTTTTTGTTCCGATAGATGTTTTATCTAAAAAAACAACTAACTCTTTTATTTCAATAGACCTTTTATCCCTAAAAATTTGGGAAAAACACCAAACGGTCTGTTTTAACGAATTTTAAATGAAATCAATCCATCCCTTGGACAAATCACATCTCGTTTTCCCCCACATGGCTCCTCTATTCTCTCGGTGTTTGGGATTGTTTACATAAAATAATTTATATTTTTTATAAAAATGTTTATCAATTTATATAATACTAAATTGGAATTTTATAAAAAGTATTTGGATTAGATAAACCTTTAAAATATATGAGATACCAAAACTCAATATTATCGTCCCCGCCCAAAATAATCACTTATTTAGGCATCCCAAGCACCCCTCTCAAACTAAACCATCGATTTTTTTTTTGGCTGTCGATTCCCTCCTCACACTCGTTTCTGGTCCAAGTACACAAGTAACCGGCGAAAACAGGTCTCCGGCACCTGAGTCTATTCTCGTACCAGTAGCCATCACTCTTGATTCCGGTAAAACCTCTTCTCCATAAAATGTGCTTGATTAGGTTTATTGTGTTTTTTCCTTCATTGCAATCACTCTCCATGTGGTTAATTGCAGTTCTTTTTTTTTTTGTATGCTACTTCGTTTCCTTCTATGTTTGTGTGCAATTTGATGTGCTTGATTGGTTAAGAATGGTTTCTTTATAGATGAGTTTACATGTTTTGAATCTATAGTATGGTTCATCACTTCGTCTACTACCTATTCGATGAAATGTTTAAGAGAAGATGACAACTTTTTTGGTGTTCAATATTTGAGTTGAATTGCAATCTATTCTTTTTTTGTGTATTACTTTTATCTGTTAAGAATGGGTTTTCTAAAGATGATTTTACATGTTTCGAATTTATGGTATGGTTCGTCAACTACCTATTCGATAAAATGCTTAAGAGAAGAAGTAGTTTCAATAATCTTGTTCGTGGTGTTGGCTGATTTTAGCATGTTGCACCATCCAAATCTAAAAGATCTCAAGCTAGATAGTAGTCTCTTACATGTTTTTAAAAAACCATGAGATTGCAAATTGGTTGGTGTTGAATGCTTCAAATAATTGGTTGGTGTTAAAATGCTTCAAATTAGATGTTGTACACAAACCATTGTGTTTGCATTGCATTTCTTGTGATGTTTTGTTAGGCCAAAGTTTGAACAACTATTGTTATGTTTGTTTGGATTGATATGATATCAGATTGTCTTGGACCATTAATTGTTTTTTTTTTCATTTAGAAATTTCAATTCAGAACTTTTGTCAAACATTGATTTTCATTCAACACAAGACATGAGGGTAAAATGGTAATATTATGTCATTGAGACTGTTGATTCAAAACAGTTTCCAAACAATCATTTTCTATCTAACACTAAATTGTAAGAGCCTTTCAAACATTTTGGCAACTTAATTATTCTGTACTAAATGATTCCGGAGCTGCCAGACAACCCCTAAATCCAATTTTTGAGCAAACAATAAGGATTAATAGTTTAATTGACTCATTTTTCTTATATAGCCCAAATTGTTATTAGTGCGGTCATTGATTCCAGGCCCACCCTCGACAGTCAACATAGTCCACACACCAAGACCAGAAGATCATTAAAGAACCTGTGTGAATGAGCGATTCTATATGTGAGTATGCCGTCTTCCAGAACGGAACAGAGCATGTGTGTGAGATTGTGACTGTACATTGTCTTCCAGGAGGGAACCCATGTGTGCGATTTAGCATTTGTGCGAATTCTAATTAAGAAATTCTCACCTCTCGCTCTCGTAAGTCAAATTTAGGTTTACGGTGATTTAGTTCATCAATTTTATTTCTTAGGGTATAACGTGATTTAGTCCCTCACCACTTGCGTTACAATGAAATTTGTAATTGTTGAGATATTTGTTTGAATATGTTCAAGTTTATCATGTTGGTTATTTTTTATGTTGAAATCTACCTTCTGTAACAAAAATTGTTGAAAACTTGAAATTGTTGATGTATTTGTTTGTAAGTGTTAAGTTTATCATATTGATAGGGGCATTCTTGATTGTTTCAAAAGGATAGATTTCATATTACTACATATTAGACATCAATAGACATTGAATAGGCAAGTTGATTAGTTAGGATAAAAAGGAAAGTACCTATTTTCAAGTGAAAAATTAAAAGCGTATCCATTAAGAAAGGCAATCAGCAGATATAATTGGGTGTTTTGCCATGATGAATATGGAATATATGAAGGGCCCATGGAGCAATAGCTAATTTGTTATTCTTCTAGAGATCAATAATCATATAAAGGAGATATAAACATTCTTGTTTTAGCCTAAGCAGTTAACGCGGTCTATTGCGGAAATAGCGGTAGGGACCTTGATTTGAAATGGCGGTTATCGCGGTGATGTAGCAGTGAAAAAAATTATGTTCATAAAATAAATATGAATATATATAAAACTTAAAATATCGTATGTCTAATAAATATCAAGTCAAACAATTCAAAACACATAAGCAACATAGTAATAGGAGTTGTGCTGTCGAGATGAGAAGAAACTCGAGAAGAAAACTCCAGCAGAAAACCCGTGGAACCGCGGGATCGAGAAGAAAACGCGAGCTGATGGAAGCTTTTTGGACTTGGAATCGATAAGCAGAGCTTTGAATCTGGAATGGACACCAAAGTTTGACTTAATTCTTTCTATTGGTAATTTAATTAGTTTCCTTTTTGTTTGCAGGCCTAAGTTTGACTCTAAATAGCCCACATAAATGACACGACAAAAGTCCAAATAGAATTTAAATTAAAAAAAGGAGTCCAAAAGAGCCCAAAAAGAAAATTTGGTAATAGCGACCGCTATTTGGTATCAAAATTGCGGTCAATAGTGGTAATGGCGTCCCGCTATTTGCAGTACCATTATAATGCATCGCTATATATGCACTGTTATTTTGGCTAGTACTGCTATCCGCTATTTCGCCGCTATAGCGCACTATTAACTGCATAGGTTTTAGCAATAGGAAATTGTACATGTAGTTCGTTTTGAACATTGGGTGTTTTGCCATGATGAATATGGATTATATGAAGGGCCCATGGAGCAACAACTAATTTGTTATTCTTTTGGAGATCAACAATCATATAATTATATAAAGGAGATACAAACATTCTTGTTTTAGCAATAGGAAATTGTACATGTAGTTTGTTTTGAACACATTTTTTGGTTGCACATGTTGGTATAGTTATGCAAATTGCTCCTTGGATACACATGTTGACTGCAAAAAGGTACGAACATTGTTGTTTTAGCAATAGGAAATTGTACATGTTAGTTTTGAACACATTTTTGGTTGCACATGTTGGTATAGCTATGCAAATTGCTCCTTGGCTGTACATGTTGTTTGCAAAAAATTTGGTCCCAAACATTAAGTGCCAGTAGCTCAACTTTAAAAGGACCACTCTAAATTCAAATTCACGCTTTGTCCTTGCAGGATATCGTTTTTCATCTACATCCTTTGAATCAACCATCACTAATCGATTGCTTGAACTAGGGATCTTGACCCCTCTTCTAACTCGGTATTCCCCTTTCTTTGCGAGTTCGGTTAGTTAATTTTTAGGGTTTAATGTGCTTGAATGCATGTGACAGATTTTTTTTTTGAAAATTATTGGGTTTATCATATAGAATATTTTTGGTATATTTAAATTTGCTTATGTTGGATGTTATTGAATCCATCATTTTTAATTTGAAATTTRTTTGATTTTGAACTTCTTGATAGTTCTTTGGCTAATTCTTCTGCTTCTTGTTTTAATGACCAAATCTGTGTATTTATGTACTCATTTTAGAATCTTACCAGGTTTTATTTGTTTGATTTTACTTATATTGGGTCTGAATTATGAACTTTTTTGTTGCATTTTTTGGTATAATTATTAGTTATGTTCTTAATTGGTGATGATTTTGCCAGAAACGCCAAGGATGGTGTCGCCGCACGGGATTAAACTCGCTGTGCATCTCATCTCCACTTATTTTGGTGATATCGTCTCTGTAAGTTCCTATCAAACCTAATATCGTCTACTTTTTTATTAGTATTTTTTACAAAATTATACTCAAGTATGTTGTAATTACATATGTTTGCAGAAAGTATGCGAATGTCTTCTATGCAAAGGAACATTATCGCTGGCGCAAGTGATAAGATACACAGAGCTCGGTAAAGAGAGCGTTCGAAACGCTTTACTTGTGTTAATTCAACATAAYTGTGTTCAAGCCTTCACTATTCAACAACCAGGTTCCCTTTGATAGCAACTTTTTTGTGTATTAGTTTTAGATTGTACATCATGTTTTAAGATTTTTTGGTTGTCGATGATATGTCACATGCCATGAGCAATTGATTGGGTTAGTTGAGGGTTAAACCACAATTTAGTTTGTATTAAATTCTTAAGTTTGTAATTGTTTTAGTGGAAGACTGTTTTCATTACTTCGGATGTAGAAATGTATGATGACTGCATTAGTTATAGAAGCATGTTAATTCATTGTGGAATTTCTTATGGATTTGAGTAGTTGGACAGAGAATTCATTAGGTCATCTAACCTAGGGTTTCCCAGTGACATTTTTTTAATTGTTGGTTAATGCATATAGTGATATAGTATATCCAATGGCTTCCATATAACTTGCCCAAGATACAAAGTAGATCTATAGGTTCTTCTATATACTGAAAGTGAAGTTTCTCAACAAGGAGAAGCAATTCYGTGGAGTTTTATTTTTGGAAGCATATAATAAAATAATTTTTAGGAATTTTAGTGTTGGTTTGACTAGTGGTGGACTGGTGGGATGTTTTGGAGAATTGGAACCTATTATCATTTGATGGACAAATATGAGAAATTTACCTCCACAAGAACAAAAGTAATGTGTATAATGAATGACAAATATGTGTATGCAGGTGGATTTGGGGAAGCACCAAAGATTGTGACTCAGTATATGGCCTTGCATGACAATATTATCCACCATATGAGGTTTCCTAAGTTTTTAGCTATTGTGTCCGATGAATTTGGACAAGAAGTAAGTTGGATRAGTTTGGTCTTTGCATCAATGCTTTAGCACTTCCTGCTTCACAGAGTTACTTTTTTGTTTCTTGCAGTGCATGGAGCTTTTTGAAGGATTGCTTCAACATGGTAGGTTATCGTTTAATCAGATYATGGATAGGCATAAGGATAAGCATAGGGCTGTCGTKACTAGTGGAGGTTAGTCCCCTTATATGCATGTTGTTATATACTGAGGTACTTTGTTGCTTCACACTTGTGGTCTTTTGTCTTGTTTCTTTCTGTTTTTTAACACTTAGTACACAAGAAATCACTATGGTATGCCTAATGAGGTGTCTAATAGACCCAAACGATTGCAATCGTATTAATGGCAAAATTGGACCGATTACAATGAAAAATCGAAGAAAAACTAGATGGGAATTCGAGAGCCCATTTCTCTCCTACACAATCAAAAGATCACATAAAATCTGAATAAAATACCATGCCAAAAGCACACCTGCCATATACCCTTCTCATTGCCTTCTTTATTATATTTCCAAAATTACCCCCTCGACTTTACTCTTTATTTATCTTTGGACCCCTCCTCGAATATACTTTTGTAAGTGGAGGCTTATCAATACCCCCCCCCCCCCCCCCCCGAAATTACTCACCTTGTCCTCGAGGTGGAATGTTGGAAACTGCTTACACATATCCGTGTACAACTCCTACGTGTCTTCAAACTTTGGCAATCCCCGCCAACCAAGGACTTCAATGTCATTATTGTTACGATATTGAATACCTTTTAGAGTTTCTGGTTCTATTGGCAACTCCCAATTATCTTTTAAGTGCTGTAGGGAGAGGTGTATGTGTTCCATGATCGCCAACTTCTTCTTTCAGTTGAGACACATGAAAAAAGGGTGGATGCTACTCCCCTCGGAAAACTGTAAATGGTAAGCTACCTTACCAATACGTTCAGTGTCAAGAAAAGTCCCGTAAAAACAAGGGGCTAACTTAACATTTCGGTGAGTAGCCAAAGAAGTTTGTCGATATGGTCGTGTCTCTTTAAAAATACCCATTGTCCAACTGACAGCTCCACATTCCTTAGATGTTTATCCGCTGATGCTCGCATTCTTTGTTGAGCTCGGAGTAAATGGGTATGTAGCTCCGACAACATTCTATCTCTTTCTAACAACATCTGATCCACATTAGATCTAGAGACCTTCATATCCGCATACGGGGTTATTCTTGGGAGGATCTCGATCATACACTATCTTGAACGGGGTGGTGTGGGAGGACGTATGGAACGAGGTATTGTAAGAGTATTCAGCCCATGGCAGCCAAGTAACTCACTTTCGTGGTTGTGCTCCGGTGAAACAACGAAAGTAAGCCTCAATTCCACGGTTTACCACTTCAGTTTGCCCATCACTCTGAGGGTGGTAAGCCGTGCTAAATCTGAGTTTAGTTTCCTGTAATTGCCAAAGTTCCTGCCAAAATGGCTAAGGAAGACTTTATCTCGGTCCGAAACTATAGACCTTGGCACCCGGTGAAGACGCACAATCTTCTTCACAAAAATGCCTGCTACTTTAGGTGCTATGAAGGGGTGTTTAAGAACTATAAAGTGGCTGAATTTACTCGGTCAATCAACTACCACTAATAGAGAGTTAAAGCCCTCGGAAACGGGTAATCCTTCTACGAAATCCATGGATAAATCTTCCCAAACCCGCTGTGGAATATCCAAAGGCCATAGTAAACTGGCCGATGTCAATGTCTAGCTTTTATTACATTGGCAAGTCACACAAGCGGCTACATATTTCTGGACAACCGACTTCATTCCTTTCCACCAAAATTCGGCTTTAAGTCGTTGCAAGGTATTAAGGACCCCCGCATGACCCCCAATGGCTCCATCATGGAATTCCATAAGTAACTGGGTAACGATAGGAGATTTGCTGGGGATTACGAGCTTACCATGCCGGAGTAACAAATTGTCTTGCAACTGAAATGGGCTGGGGCAGCCGGCCCAAGTTTTAAAGCATCAATGCGGGCTTTACACTTAGGGTCTTGGTTTACTTGTTCAATCAATTGAGTGATGTCCCATCCCTGAAAAGTAAGTAATTTTATTAAGGTTGGGTCATGGTGTCTTTTAGATAAAGCATCTGCAGCCGCATTATCTTTTCTCGGTTTGAACTGGATTGGGAAATCAAACCCAATCAGTTTGATTAGCCATTTCTGATACTCCGTAGCCACCTCCCTCTGTTCTAATAAGTATTTAAGACTACGTTGATCCGTCTTAACAATGAAGTGCCTTCCCAAAAGATAATGTTTCCACTTTTTGATAGCCAACATGATAGCCATCAATTCACGGTCATAGACGGACTTAAACTTTCCTCTAGTTGGTAAAGCTTGACTAAAGTAAGCTATTAGCCTTTGCGACTTCATAAAAACAGCCCCCACTCCCGTACCAGAAGCATCCGTTTCTACAATGA